GTGGGGCTGGCGCAGGATCGGGCAGTGTTTCGTTCTGCTGTGCATGGGGTCGCTATGAGTCGGAAACGACTCGACGGCACTTAACAACAACAAACATTAAGGTAACAAAATAGAGTATGAGCTATTAGAATATGCCATAGCAAGTTGAAAAGCTGGTGTAAAAAGAGCAGTGTAATAAAAACTGTACACAACTCTCAGCAACAAGCCCGACGAGCACTGCAGTGCGGCTATTTTCACATCACGCCTATATACTTGTGTACCCTCATGCTTGGCACAGAGGCCCTCTCAACATCTGTGAGTACGTGGATGTGGCGGGCAGAGATTACACCAAAACCACTTTGCTGGGGCGGGGTGACGGCAGATGGTGAGGTGCAGCTAGAGGATCCATCTCTCTGATCAGAAGAGAGAAAATTTCTGGCAAAACAACATCATCATGTTTTTAGTTTTCGACTTACAGCATTTATGGTCTAAATCTGGAAAAATATTTGAAAAGAGATGGCTAGAAAAAAGTTCGGGCCCACAGGTAGACACAGAATAAAAGCCAGCAGTCACTAAACTGAGCGTTTATTTAAACTACATTAATGACAGTCTTTCCACGTGCATGTCCTCCTTCTACCTTCAGGAAGGCTTCTGGAACTTTAGAAAAAGGAAAGGTTTGCTCAATAACTGGCCGAATCTGTAAAACACAAGAAGAGGTTGACTGTTGGGTAAGAAAACATCCATCTTTCCAGGCAAATAACTTCTGGAATTAGTTTCTTCAAAATGTCTCTCCAGGCTGGTCTTGGTTCTATTTCCAGTGCACCTAGGCCAGGGGCTCACTGCTGCACTCACTCCTGTCCCCCCCACACACACTCTTCTCCCTCCATTCCTCTCCCTTCCTTTTCCCTCCTTTCTCCTCTCCTCTCTCTAATGCAGCCCAACTCTACCAAGGCTCAATTTTCCTTCTGCTCTGTGCTGGTCTTGTCATTCTCCTACTCACCAAAAAACCAAACCCACCCTTCCATACCTCCCACCGCACCTGGCGTTGAAAGGCCACCATCATCCTGGCCTCAGCCCTCCTGTGGACTCTATGCTTCATCAAAATGGGCTACTTGTCTCTCTCTCAACATGCTTTTGCAGCCCAGAAATCTCTCCTCCAAACACTGTTCCATGCTCTTAGCCCAGGTCTCACACTACTTTTCCTCACTCCTCCAACACTGCAGTATGTTTCTTATTCCAAGAACACTGCAATATTTCTGCCTATGAACTGCTATCAGGCCCATGTGGTCCTTATCATATACTACACTTATAACTGATTATATGTCTTAGCCACCCACCCTGTTGTGTACGATAAAGACTAAAGGGGGCATCCTAAGGTCCTTGAGGTAGGTAGCTCTATGGCCCCCTCACAGGTGGTGGACAGATTAAGGATAGATTTTTTTTTTTTTTTTTTAATCTGGTAAGTGTTTGGCACATCTTCTTAACCATAGCTTAAAGTATAGGCCATCTCTTTCGTATCCACCCCTCAACATGCTGCACAACACTAGCCTTCAAATAGGCTCCCAACTCATGGCAACCCCATGCACAATGGAATGGAACGCTGCCTTATCCTGCATGCAGACAGGAGCTTAATAAATATCACTCAGGTGAACACCTGTGAGTTGGCAAGCACGGGTCTCACATGGCTTTCTGAGCTTCAGGATAACCTGCCCTAGGCTGGCACTGTCCAGGGAGGCTTTTTTAAGCAGCAAAGCAGCTTGTTAGGCTTGACAGGAAAGTCATTCCAGCCGGCTCCTCATCGTGAGTGCTGCTGGTTCATTTTACTATGCCATTAATATTGCCAGCAAGGAGCACTGGTGGCACAGCGGTTAAGTGCTTATCTGTTAACCAAAGGGTTGACGGTTCAAACCCACCAGCCGCTCAGTGGGAGGAAGATGTGGCAGTCTGCTTCTGTGAAGATTTAAAGGCTTGGGAATCCTATGGGGCAATTCTATTCTGTCCTATAGGGTTGGTATGAGTCAGAATTGACTCGCTGGCACACACAACTATTCACTCAGTAGCCTCCCTCTGAAATTAGGACCCAGTGAGCAGCTTCTCTCCCCTTGCAAAAATCCACTGAACTCTCCTTTTTCAAAGCTTCAAACAAAAATCAGTATTTATACATTTGGTATTTCAGCTCAACTGGCATGGATAAGCTGTCAGAAGGCATAAACCAACTCGTACATTTTATGATCCCTTTTCTTTTACAAGAGGAACGAATGCATAAGTAAATACAGCCCTGTGTTCTTATGGTGATGTTCTGTATGTGGTGCACCCTCCTTTGTGTCAATTTCACAGCCAGGCACCAGAAGAGCCTTCTCTAAAGAGCTGAAAATACTTTTTTACCGACAAACCACAATAAGCTCCAAATAAAAGCTAGTAAGACTGTCCTCACTATGTGCTAAGGCTTTATATATTTCACCTCATTTAATCCCTATAACTTCCTTATAAATAGGTAGTTAATTATTTTCATTTTACAGAGAAGAAACTAAGGCACAGAGAGTTAAGCTGCCCAGTGTCACAAAACTGCTGGCTGGTGAGGTGGGATTCAACCCGGCGCCAGAGTCTGTGCCCTCACCACTGTGCTCTGTGTACCATGCACTAGGCTGACACTTCCACCAACTCCAAAAACCTTCAAAGGAAGGGAAAGCAGCCAGTGATGATCATTTATCGCCGTCTGCATCTTAGCCTGCTTTCCTTGTGGTCATCTCTGCCAGCTGAGGTCTCTAAGCCACCGAGATGACAGCTGGCCTGGCCCATGTGCGACCACTCCCATCTGCACCCAAGGATTAAGAAACAGATACACTAATCACTGATTAACAAACACTAATTAATAATCATGGCCCTTCCCCCAAGCTGAGCAGAACCTCAGAATCTTCCTCAGCACCTCAGCCCCTATCAACTGACCTAAGCTGCCAGCCTCCTCCAGTAAAAGAACGGAATGCCTACAGAGTTGTTTCCCGCATGAAACCTTCTGAACTCTGCTCTCCTTAAAGGCCTTAAGCCTTACATACATTCCCTTCTGTATGCTAGTTACCTGAAACGGAACCCCTGAGGGGTTGCTTAAAATGCACAGTGCTAGGCTCCTTTTCTGAAGAAGATGAGGCAATCTACTTCCCCAAAGATTTACAGCCTTGGGAACCCTATGGAGGCATTTCTACCCTGTCCTATAGGGTCACTATGAGTCAGAATCAACTCAGTGGCCGTAGGTTTGGTTGGTTACCTTAGGCCCCCTTTTAAACTGCAAAATCAGACTCTCCAGAGCTGGGGCAGAGACAATACTTTTTAAATAAGCTTCCCAGGTGACTTTCATGCACCTTTAAGTGGGTGGGAATTGCTACAGCCTTTTGCATTTGTTCCTAAGGTCCCTGACTGATATCAGACACATATTCATTCATTCCACAAAGACCACCTGTCTGCCTTCCAGTAGGCACTATTCCAGAGCAGGTACATAAAACATCAAGAAGGAGACAACAACATCAACTCGTCACGGAGCATGTGACACTAGTAATAAAAGCAACACAGCAATGGTGTTACCCTGAATCCAACTGCTCAACTCCAGAATGAACTACCTAAGCTCATCTGGCTACATTAACTCAAACACTCTGACAGAGACCCAGGACCGGAATTGATGACCCAGGCAACTTGGTTACTAAACACTTTAATCTGGCTGGTCAATCCTATTGTGGTGCATAACCCGAGAGGGCTGACGGTAGCAGAATGAGTCATTTAGCTCTTCCCATAAGTGACAATGGGGGGGAAAAGGGCTTTTGATTAACAAGCAGGCAAATGCCAATGTTGGCTGACTATGTGACAACAAATGGAGATTAAGTGAATGATGAGACAGTGTCCACGTATAGCCTCACACGAGGCCTAGAGTGCTTGTTTGCTCAGGACAAAGGGATAAGGGATGAGGATTAAAATCCACAGAGGGGAGGAAAAGGTTACTCAGAGTGAAGGGAGCATTTATGTGATGACACTGTGATAGTCTACCTGGCACAGGGAGCCTGCTATAAAAGTAGGGGTCAACACCACACTTCCCGCTATGTGGACACGGGGCTCATAGCTGACTAGGAGATACCCACAGCAGCAGCCCTCAATTCAGTCTTAGACCCACATGCAAGACAAACTTCTCCTGATTGTGCCTTAACCTCCTTAAACAAAACTGGACAAAGCCAGACCCGAGGATCTGGGTACTATCTGCCTCTGATAGTCTTTCCATGAACTAGGAGGTGAAAGAGATAAGAAAGGGGGTTAGGGAGGTTGGGAGGATGGAGTGCGTTTGAAGGGAATAAATAAGCCTAGTTTGGAAAGCATCCAGGATTTGTCCCTAGATCTCCCTGAAAAAAGACACCTCTTCCAGCCAGAAGAGAGGAAACTCAGTATATATTCCTACAGAAACAACTTTATAACACCTGAAAACTTCAGTGGCATCAAAGCTTTGAGATTCATGAGATACGTGCCACATCACAGCAAATAATCCTCTTCTAGAAGGTTGGGCAATCTACTTCCATAGTGATACTGCCTTGGAAACCCAAGGAGGGGTCGCTCTGAGTTGGGTCCGACTTGATGGCACATAACAACAGTAGTTCCTAGAAGAGCATGTGGAACAAGGGATATCATTGCTGATGTCAGATAGATCTTGGCTGAAAGCAATGACTACCAGAAAGATGTTTTCCTGACCTTGCAAAGGCATTTGACTGTGTGGATCATAACAAATTATGGATAACACTGCAAAGAACAGGAATTCCAAAGCACTTAACGTTCTCATGAGGAACATAGACCAAGAGGTCTATGTTCTCTTTGAACAGAACAAGGTTTAAAATCAGAAAAGATGTGCATCAAGATTCCTTTTCACTATACTTATTCAATCTGTGTGTTGAGCAAATAATCTGAGAAGCTGGACTATAAGAAGAATGTAGCCACAGGATTGAAGGAAGAGTCATTAATAACCTGTGATATGCAGATGACACAACCTTGCTTGCTGAAAGTGAAGATGACTTGAAGCACTTACTGATGAAGATCAAGGACTATAGCTTCAGTACGGATTAAATCTCAACATAAAGAAAACAAACATCTTTACAATTAAACCAATAAACAACATCACAGTAAGTGGAGAAAAGATTGAACTTGTCAGGGATTTCGTCTTACTTGGATCCACAATCAATGCCCATGGAAGCAGCATTCAAGAAATCAGATGTCATATTGCATTGGGCCAATCTGCTGCAAAAGACCTCTTTAAAGTGTTAAAGAACAAAGATGTCACTTTGAAGACTAAGGTGCACCTGACCCAAGCCATGGTCATTTCAATCGCCTTATATGCATGTGAAAGCTAGATAATAAGGAAGACGGAAGAAGAAGAATGGATACATTTAAATTGTGGTGCTGGCAAAGAATACTGGAAATACCATGGAGTGCCAGAAGAACAAACAAATCTGCTTGGGAGAAATACAGCCATAATGCTTCTTAGAAGCGAGAATGGCCAGACTGTGTCTCACATACTTTGGTCATGCTGTCAGAAGGGACCAGTCCCTGAAGAAGGATATCATGTGTGGTAGAGGAGAGGGTCAGTGAAGAAATGGAAGACCTTCAACAAGATGGACTGACACAGTGGCTGTGACAATGTACTCAAGCATAGCAAGGATTATAAGGATAGCA